TCTTTTCTTCCTCTTTCTAGATCCTATGTGTAGCTCTAACCCGCAAAGGCTAACACTCTAAGATTTAAAGGAAGTCTCAGTGTCCAGCCTTCAGGTTGTGGAAGAGCAGTTTTTTACATACATGCATATTCCTCTAATTTGAAGCTAGGTCATTTTGCTAAGTTACTCAAAACATTAAACAAAGGACAGTTATGTAAAAAACATGCTTCGACGGATTCAGATGTTCCATCACTTAATTATGGGCCCTATAGTTGAAACCTGAGACAAAAGATGTTTTATGCCTTAAGCTGCTGATTTTTAAAAATATTTTGTTGACACTAGTTCATTTGTTATAGGAATAGGAAGGTTTATCTCTTTACCTTGCTATTATCTGGTTCATAAGAGAAGCTACTACTATTTGTCTTAAATTGACTTCTCACATCTTTGGCTATGTTGACCTGGATACATTATAGTGTCAGTACCTGACATTTATTTTCATCTTTCCCAATTTCTTTAGTTTTCCTTGGTTAACCTGTAGAATCTAGCACATGATGGCTTCCAAGGAAATGCTCACTGAATTGATTACTTGACCATAAAAATTTAGAAAAATCTCCAAGAAGTTTAATACAACAGAGCAGCAGAGATCCCAACATGTGTGTAATTGAGGATCATTAAGAAATTTCGAATAGTATTTTCTTTGTGAGGTGGTGGGTTGGGATGGGGCATGGATAGACAAGGAAAAGAAACATTAAACATCTTCCAGCAATTTTTACACACATTATCTCATTGAAATCTTTAACAAGTTTGGAAGGTAAATATTTCCACATGGTATATGTACAAAAAAAAAAAAAAACAGGCTTCAAGAGGTTAATTTGCTTAATGTCATACCCCTGGTGGCAAAGCTCACATTCAAACTCAAGTCTGTATGTCTTCAGATTCATGCATGTTCTTTCCATTAAATCACATCTCTCAGAAGGAAATCAATTTAGTACGAGCACTCAGCTTCCTAATGACATAGCCATTTCTGACTATCTCTTTAGAAACATTAATAACTCTTATTTTGATTTTTGGAGACTCTAGTCTGGTGGTATAGTTTCTTCCCTTCTTACCCCATTCTCTGTCTTCCTTCTGTGTGCTTGGTGGGAAGTCCTTAGTAAGAGTAAAAAGGAAGAAACTTGGTCAGCATCCTAACACATTAAAGTGATGTAATAAAAACAGTCAACATCCACAAGGAGATGTGTTTTTGTTCCAATTTTAAGAATCCATTGGAAGACCCTCTTGTGCCACTTCCACCCTTCCCACAATGCCTAGTCCTTGACAGTGTAATTGGGTGGAGCTGGGTTCAAGGGGATGTGAGACTGGAGAGGGCAGGAAACTTTCAGATGGCCAGCTGAGGTTGTTTTGATTGAGTCACCCCAAAGCAAGCCTTGAAACAAGGCCATGGGTACAGGCAGTTTATTTAAAACATAATCCCAGAAAACACAAGTGAAAGCATATGGAAAGTGAGACAAGGAAGGGGGAAGGGCCAGTACAAGGTGCTTCAATGAACAGGTGCTATGGGTCAGCTAGACTCAGTTCCACTAGGGAATCTGAGAAAGTGACTGGGATGGAGAGTCTGGACATTTATTCATGAATTTCTATTTTGTGTCGGTTGAAGGTTGCCCTGAGGGTCCTTAATTCTCCTATTCTAGGTTGTACCTATCTTTGGTTGGTCCCGCTTCCATACTTCCTGAAACAGCCTTCAGGCAGGGTGAGAAGAGACCCAGGTGAGAAGTTGTCCATTTATCAAGAATTTATTGTAGCTGCAACTGAACTTGGAAACCAAGGGTGTATGGAGCAGGATATCAACCTCACCTGCAATGGACTTCTCCGTGAAATGACAGAGACTTGATGGTCAGAGCACTGAAATGCTTTGCCCCATTCCATAGATACCTTGTACATGTGTGATTGACTGGTTATAGGACACTCTGGAGAGAGGCAGTGTGGTGCAGTGGGTATGAGCACAGAGTCTGGCAGCAGGGTTCAAATATCTGGATTCAAATCATCTCAGTTACTAGCTGGGTTAACTTGGTCAATTTATTTAACTTTTCAATGCCTTTTCCCCATCTGTATAATAAGGGTGTTGATAATAAAGTCTGTCTCAGGTGCATTGGTGTCAATCTGAAATGTGCTAACATATTATAAAGCATTTACAACAGTGTCCATCCCAAAATAAACATTCTATTTCTAGGCATATAAGAGGCCCATGTTACCTCCCCAATTTTGCAAGTGTGGAACCGAAACTTTCAAAATTCTTCCTACTGAATTCTTTAATTAAAAGTCTTGCTTTTACATTCTATTATCAAATTTTCTTTTCCCAGACCCAGGACCTCACATGTACTTCATATGTGAAGTCTGCTCTAATTTTGGGTAATCAGAGAATTCAACTTTTAAGGGGTACAAATTTATAAAAGAGCCTAGTAACAAAGGTTTTGAAATCCGGAAAGTGCTGATGTCACCACAAGCAATTGATAACCTTAGAACTCCTCATGAACAATACCCACAATGATGTAACCTCCTTTATTTTGGGGGTGAACTATAACGATGATTACTGCTGATGGGGTGAGTGCTAAGTGTGCTACACACATTATCTCATTTAATCTTTATACCAAATCTATGGAGTAGGTATTAGCTCACTTCAGATGAGATAGATTCAGAGGGTTGAAATAACTTGCTCAGGGTCCTGCAACTGGCAATGGTGGAGTTGGAAGTCTGATCCCAATGAATGCTTTTTAATCACAGTTTACATCTGAAACAGTGCAACAAACTAAATATTATTCTCCACTGACATCACCTGAGTTACTGTATACTACAGGTGGCTGTAGAATTGAAGCTTGTATTGAGTCCTCTGTTACTTGTGGCCATGAGCATCACTTAGCCTCTCTGAACTCATCATGTTATATTATATGTAGAAGAAGAATAATGATATTTACTCTATAAGGACTTGGGGAGATCTTATGGAATTATATAAGTACTTTATAATTCAGTACTACATAAATTTGATCATGTAAAAGGACAAATGTTTTGAAATGAGAGGTTGACAGTCTATATGAATAAAAATAATAACAAGAAAGTTTAGATTTAAAATTATTCTATAATTAACTTTATACTTACTCGTGTTAGAGTTTCCAGTTGATTTTCTTTTTTCTTCTCTTCCATTTTATTTATTCACTTCATAAATACGTACTAAATACCATATAATGGCATGTTTTATGAGCAGGGAATATAAAGGTGAAATTAACATAATACCTATATTCAAATGGCTTAAAATTCTAGGATAAAAACCAGTCTTCGAGAATTTTTTTTCAAAATAGTGGCAGGGAAATTATGATGATGGGGTGAGATTGTATTTTGCTCACTCTCCCTTTTATTGTTTTTTAAATTCTACTCTCTATCTCAGCTGAGAAAAAAGAAGATAACCAACTCACCATTTTGTTTGCCCTCTACTCATTGTTTAGAAATAGTTAAGTCTAAATGCTTTTAAGTTAGTTTTGACTCTATGTCAAAACTTTCATGAAGACATGTGCTCATTCCTGGACAGATATCTCTATCTGCAAAATACCTTCCCAATGCTGTGAAACATTAATGTCTTTAAAACCATTAAGATTGTTAGTTTTGGCTGAAGATAAGCAGAATAAACAAACTGCTTCCCAAGCAGGGTCCAGTTCTATGGCCTTTGTTAGCTTTTGAAGCTCAAGGAAGTCACAAGTTTCAAAGAAACTGACAAATTTCTAATGGGCTTCATTGTTTTGTGTCTAGTATTTCTCACAGGTGCAGATAACATAATGTTTCTATGTTGGCCGTGAATAGCCTGTAACGGTTCCTTGATCTGTGTTAATCTCTCCACTTGTATATAATTAGTTATCTACTTACCCATCTCTTGGCCCAGTACTGGCCTTCATAGGCAATACACACAAGAAGTGTCTCTTCTTTCTTAAATAATCAGTCATTATAAAATGCAAATACATCTTGAAAAATGGTTTTTACATTTCTAGGGGAAAATTTATGGATTTTCCTGTTAATTCACCAGTTTTGATGCTCTCCTTTAACCTGGTGGTTCTCAAGGAGCGACTTTAACCCTAGAGGACATTTGCCAATATATGTAGACATTGTTGTTTGTTCAAACTGCTACTACCATCCTCTATGTAAAAACCTACGTAGATCCCAGTGATGCTGCTCAATGCCCTCCAATGTACAGGGCAGTCCCCTATGACAAAGTTATCTGACCCCCATATATCTATAGTGTCGAGTTGAGAAACTCTGTGAGTCTAACCTTACTCTTACTTGAAAACTTTGCAGGATGTAACTACATTTTTTAGGGTTAATTCTGCCAGCCATCTTCTTGGATTTTTCAGAAGCAGGACAAGCACAATCTGGTAAATTAACTCATCAGTAAAGTAGAGGAACCAAGAACAACTCACCCAACTGATTTTATTATTCCAAAATGAAACAAATCAGAACTTTGACTTCCTTTGATTCATTTACTTTTATTTCTCCTGGGTGTATATATGTATGTGCACGGATTGGAACGACGTCCTAATATTTTTATGTGTAAGATCTCTAACATGTCAACATAGTCTCAGATAGTCAGGTAGAAAGGTAGAAGAAGAATAAATGTGACCACCATTTATTAAAACACCAGAATTTGGGTGGCCACTGTGATTTACTCTCACTTTTCCCAGAATCTCCTTAAGGTTTTCTCACTAGAAGGCTTTTCCTCCCACTATTCCACCCTTCTAACTATTAAAATTCTATCCATATGTCAATGCCCAGCTCTCTGAAAAACTTTTGTGGACTTGCCCAAGAAATAGTTAGTGGTTGCATCTTCCTTCAAAATAGTTCATGGGTCTCTGTAAAAAAATATATGCATGTTTATTTATAAATATGTGTATCTTATTAAAATATATAGTGTCTTTTGCTGAACTTTATTTATTTATTTATTTGAATTCTCACCTGAAGACACGTTTTTAATTTTTTTTTAGAGAAAGAGAAGTATCGATGTGAGAGAGAGACATCAGTGGGTTCCCTCCCCCATGTGCCCCAACGTGGGATCAAACCTGCAACCTAGGTAAGTGCCCTGACTGGGAATCGAACCCACAGCTTTTTGTGTATGAAATGACACTCCAACCAAATGAACCAACTGGCCAGGACTGAATTTTAAATATTTTATATTGTCAAGGTAAGGGACTCTATTTTATAGCTTTCATTTTCCTCTTAACATATATCTACTGCATATGCAGTTAATTGGCATTCAATAGATTCGAGTTGATTAGTGGGTATTTGCAGATTTTCCTTTCCCAGGGAGTTGAAAACCATAGTGAAAATAAAGGTATTACCAAAATAACATTCCTCCCTGTTGAGGAACTGTGTGTCTATAACAAGCTGAATGGAATTTCTCACTGTTTTTCCTAACTTTGGTTGTCTCTCAAATACCCTCATGTAGATTATTTCACTATGTTTTAAAGTATCAGAAAAAGATATAATTTATTAGTGAATGCCAGGAAGACACAGAGCCAGGCCAGCGTGACTTATTCTGTTTCTCGCAGTGTGTTTTAAAGCATATAGATTTTCTACAAATCTTTCCCGCAGATTGTTCCCTCTTGTTATTGAAGACTCTGCAGGGAGAGTGGCGGAGGGTGAGGGGTGAGGACAGATAAGAATTTAGCTGTGTGTTTCTGACAGGCCAGCAAGCGGTGGGAGACTTGGGCCTGGATCCCTAGAGTTCATCTCACAGATTTGTGAATCACGTGGAAGAAGGCGCACACCGATTTTAAATTGTTCATAGTGACACAAACGCATGTGAGAGAGCTATGAGGAATGAAGGCAGGGCCCCAAGTTTTGCAAGTCTGCATTTGTCTTTTTAAAAGCTTCCCTAACTATGTTCCTGCCATAAAGGACAAGTCAAAATGTGATGAGGTGGACATTCTCTATAGTCATGTGATGAGACCATGGTTAAACACTAACATATTTCTTCTCAGTATTCCCTTGCAAGTGTGTTCGTCTATGGCCTTTCAGTTCAAAAGTAGCTTTACTCTTCCTGTATCAGTACTAAAAATTCCTTTGGACTGTTCGTTTTCTTTTCCAAACAAAATATACAATTATATATCACAGATGTGAATTCTTTTGATTAAAAATAGGATCACAGTTTAAGGTTTAAAGATAAGGTATAGCAAGCAGTCAAAATGTTTGCGGGGTATACTTTATCAATTATATGTCATTTAATATCCCCAATGTGCTTACTCTGTTACCTACTATGCAAAATAATTATTGTTGAATTATTTTGCTCTTGAGGAAATCTATTCATTTACAAGTCCCTCCACTCAATACTAACCTGGAAGCAAACTTAATTTTACTACAGGGATGTTGCAGTTATGAAGTCTGATATATGTGAAAAGGAGTTTTCATTTTGGTAAAATACCAATTACATCCTATTTCAAACAAACGTGTTTTTCAAGTACAGGCAGAGTATGTAAGAGATACATAGTAGGTAAAACATACTCAATATAAACCATATGTGCACTCTGAGCAACAGAAGAATAATCAGTGTATAATTGAATCATTCAATAATGTAGCCAATGACTTGATGATCCCAGATACTGAGCCCTAATCCACTGATCACTGAGAACCAGAATCAAGGCAGTTTTACTGAACAGCAATTAAACATCTCATTCAGACTCCTTTATGAACATAACCAATACCTTCAGACAATTAAAAAAAACAACATCCACTATTTTATTTCCCCATTACATTTTCCACATTGTTTATATAATTACATTACTTCTAATCTATTTTCAATAAAAACTTATACTATCTGTTTGTCTCTATATTGGGGAAACCAGAGTACTGTTGTTTATTTACAATAAAGCCATCCTATGAAGTTTTACTCTGAATTTCCCTCTTTCAATCCAGAATTCTATATAACACACCTCTTCATTTTATCTGATTTATTGTCGTTTTGTTGGCTCACACATATAGAAAAAGCTTGGAGAGATACCTGATCTCTAGAAGGGCTGTCGGGAACTATCGTCAGTATTAACGTTTGCCGTGGAAACTCCGTGTCTGCGTCAGTTTGTTATTTGTGTGAGGTACGAGCAAGTCAGTTTGGGGGTGCCTTATCGGATGTGGTGTTACTTTCCCACTACTTCTCATCAGACTTTGGGCAGCTGAGGGTGGCAGTGGCCGCAGAGGTGACTGGGGCCCATGACCTGATGGCTGGAAAATTGCTGAGAACCTGAGATGGATAATGGTGACACACAGGTGTTATCATCCTTCCTGGCTCTTGAGTGAAGACAAGAGGCTGTGACAGTGAGATTTCCATTTGTTTAAATGTACGCTGTAAAAATTGAATGGTTTTTTTTGCTGGAACCATTATATATATACAACCTGCCCATTAGTCACCTCATACATTTTATTATCACTTCATACTTTATTTTCTTCTTTTGACCTCAGGAAGATTCCCAAGTAATTCTAAAACCCATTAGTATCTCTGAACACTCACAAAAAATCCATAAATGATTTCCTAATGGTCATTACTAATAGTATTAAGCAATCTTGGACTGGCTAGAAGTCATTGTATGGAGACCTAAATAAGTCTTTAATTTGTGAATTCTCTTATGTTAATACTAGAGTTTCCCTTTTGAGTATTTAAAAATAATATAAAATGTTACCACTCAATAAAACCAGTATGATAAATGGGCAAATTCCATTTTAACTCTCCATTATTATAGTATGTGAGATGTTAAAATAAGGAAGTTGAAAACTGCTGTAATTTAAAAAGACAGTAAGGAATCCTGGTTATCCTCTCTCTTCCCACACTTTTGGTTGGTCCCTTGAGTAAGAACAGCTATAGACAAAGGGCTCAGTGCTATTGACTGTAGTTACAGTTTCCATCTCCTGTGGGTACCTCTGCCATCTGAGAAGTGACCTGTAGTGCTGTGGAATGTGCTATAACATAGACACAGGAGATTCAGAAAAACACAAAGTTCAAGTCCTGGCTCTACCATACTGTAGTTGTCTGTTGTGGGCTGTTTCTGTAAAGTAGCGATGGTGCTAATATTGACCTTATATGCTTGTTCAAGAGTAAATGAGATGATGAATAAAAACTAGCACAGTTTCTGTTATGTAGTGTGTACTCAGTAAGGCTAATTGTTACTCTTACCCACCTCTGTGATCCACCAAGTGCTTGTACATTGAGAAAGACTTCTCATGCTCAAAGGGGAGGACCCCTGTGTGATGTGGTTACTGCAAGAATATAGCAAGAAAGTTAAAAAAAATGGGACTACATCAAACTAAAGGGTACAGTAGCCATATGGAATAGAAAATGAGTATGGAGATATCTCAAAAAATTAAAAATGGATCTGCCTTTCCACCTAGATATCCCACTTCTGGGGATATACCCAGAGAAACCCAAAACATTAATTCCAAAGAACATAAGCACTCCTGTGTTCATTGCAATGTTATTTACAATCACCAGGACATGAGAGCAGCCCAAGTGTCCACCAGTAGGTAGATGAGTGGCTAAAACAACTATGGGACATTATATAATGGAATACTACTTGACCGTAAAAAAGTAGAAAGTTGTATCCTTTGTAGCAGTATGGATGGAAGTAGAGAGCATTATGCTAAGTGAAATTAGCCACTCAGAGAAAGACAAATACCATATAATTTCACTCATGTAGAGTCTAATGAACAAACTGAACTAACAAGCAAAATAGAGACAGACTCAGAGATGGAGAGCAGATGACAGCAGGAGTTTTTAGGGGGTGGAGGGATTGAGCAAAAAAGTGAAAGGATTCATGGACATGAACAACAGTGTGGTGATTGCAGGGGGTGGGGCTATAAGGGGAATAAATGGTAATGGGAAAAAACAAAAAAAAAATCTCCAAAATAGGAGACAAGATTTTCATTGACACCCACAGGATAGGGAATGGTGCTGTTTATTGGGGCTTATTAAGAGTCATGTGCAACTATACCAACAAAGAAAGGCTCATAGAAAGATCTGCAGTTTTGTTCCTTGAGTTACGCCCAGTGTGGTCCTTTAATGTGCTAATTAGCAATCTGGTCAAGAGTGGAATTTTCTGTCTCCAGTGATCTCCCAAGTTACAACACTGCTGTTTAAAAATCATAGAGCTAATTCAAACTAATTTGTCATTGTCTAGAGTCATAAACACAATAAAAGAGGTTGAAGAGAGCATCTATTGCAATCCATAAAAGTTAACAAGTTTTCATCTTCCTAAGTGTGCTTAAGCTCAACAGGCACAATGAGATTTGTCTCAATGCTTTCCACATTCACCACGGGATCTACACACAGTGGGGATGGTGGGGGGCTCTTTAGGAGAATGTGTGTAATGGAAGCTTTTTCACTTTTCGAAATTTGATTAGGAACATAGAAACAGATGTGTTCCTATGAGCAGACCACCACGGAGTAGTGTTCATTACACCAGTTACTCCTAGCAAGCCTGCTGGAGGTTGATGCCTGGGAAAGAACTTGGCATTTCCAGATCCCAGTGTTTTTGACATAGAGCTTCCTCCTCTGATGAGTTCCTTCCCAACTACAACATCAAAGAAAAGAAGCTATGGTCCTACTAGGTGGGGAAGTAGGATAGCCTGGTGAGTTGATTAGACCTTCTCCATCTGAAGTCCAATTTCCTGGATTTAAAGTCAAACTTAGCCACTTTTGCAACTGGTCTCCTTGGAAAATTTTTTAGCCTATTAACTTTAACTATTCCACTTCTGAAACGAGCTACAGCAGCTGCTGAGCAATTCAGGTGTGTTGTGACCACACCCAGTAAAGGCCTTATCTCTGAGATGATTGGAGAGCCTACAGCAAGCCTCAGGGAATAGATGATTCCTGAACCAAGTCTAGCAGGACTTCCTTGGTGAGTGGAGGTAGAGGAAAAGAGAGGACAACCCAGAGAGTGGGCATGACACAGATGGTGTCACAGGGGAAGGAGAGAATATGGCACATCTACAGTAACTGGAAGTGGTATTTTAAAAGAAAGTGCTGGGTACAGAAGGAAGGAGGAAGGATGGGCAGTTACTAGAAGGTGAGGTAGGATGGGGAAAGGTTATCTATAAGAAATAAGAGGTACAGTAGCCATATGAAATAGAAAATGAACTAATCTGGGAGTTAGAAT